CCATCTTCTAGTATACTAGTATTTTAGACTAGCAGACATTAAGAGAATCAGCTAGCCTTCATTAGTTCCACAATTAGCTGTTCTCTTATAAAAACTCAATAGCTTCCTATTCTCTGAATACCACAAATTCACTTAGCTTATAAATTCAAATCCCTAGAGAAACATAAAAATATTGGAAATTGCAGTATATTACTGGCCTTCATCTGCTTTTAGCATTTCTTTTTGGTGGTGTTGGAGTTTTTGGGGTTTTTTTTTGGGGTGGGGTGAGGGTAAGATCCTTTTTTTTTCCATTCCTTTTTTCAGTGGAATGGAAAAAAACAAACTGAAGTATAGCTAAATAATGCTAACGAAATTAGATGGATGATTTTTTAAAACATTTCTTATTGTTGGCTCAGCGGCTTAAACTTAGAGTCAGAGACTTTTTTCCAATTATATGTTCTCTAAGACCTTATCTTCCATTAAATGTTTATTTAGCCCGTCTTATTTGTCTGTCTGTATTTTGCTTGTACTTGTCTCTATGCACGTCACTTGCATCAGTTTTCTGCAGCCAAAAAATGAAAAAGCAGAGCACTTATTGACAGTATTATGTGTAGAACCAGGCAAAGGCTATTGCGAAAAAGATTGAGGACTTGAGACAGCATTCCTTGACTAAGAAACACAATAGAGGATTTTCACACTCCGATGCATTGCAAATTAATACAAAAATAGAACGGCTTGAGGAAATGCTTCAGGAAGTTTGTCTTAGGATACATCATATGCGGTGCAAAAAGATGCTTGAGCAGAAGGTAAATTTACATGTTAGCAAAACGTTCTGATTGCCAGTGTGAATGGCCAGTAGTGTTTGGGCGTCAGAAACTCAGATCTGGATCTTCTCTCCAAGGCACGGTGCTTGATAGCCTAAAGTTTTGCATTCAAATTCTAACCTTTCTATATTTGATGGGCTTAGACTTATGAAATTTGTTTTTGTGAGGTTTGAAACCAAGTACCCTGGAGATAATCGCAGATTGCATCTCTTATGTTATGAAGCACTAAAGTTTAATGGTAGTGTGTTTTATTATAGTTCTCTCGAATATTTTGACGTAATTTTTGTGATTTGATATATATGAAAATCTGATTCAGTATTACTTGGAATATCTGTGAGTGAAAAGGGATATCCAAACTAAGAGTAGAGCATTGTATATATAGTCAAACAATAGTATAAAGTGACCTGAACATTCCTCTGGTCTAAGGTAAAACATAAAAGTCATAGTAAGGGCAAAAAAGAGAAAAGAAACCCTAATAAACTAGACTATATCTCTAACACTCTCCCTCAAGTTAGGCGCAAAAATGTCAACTAAGTCAAACTTGACAACGGAGTCCCGAAGAATGGATAGAGTGACACGTTTGGTAAAAATATCCGCAACCTGATTATTGATTTCTACAAACAATAGAGTAACAATACCATAACTAACCTTATCGATCTCTATTTGTTTCGTCCTCTCGTGTAGTACAGAGTCAGAAGCAAGCGGAATAACAGATCGATTATCACAATATAATGTAGATAGAGAAGTCAGTGTAAATCCTAGCTCACCAAGAATCGATTGTAGTCAGATAATCTCACACGTGCCAAGTGTCAGTGCCCAATACTCTGCCTTTATTGACGAGCGGGAGACAATTACGTGTTTTTTGCTCTTCAAAGAAATAAGATGAGTCCTTCAAAAAGCACAGAAGTTCATAGTAGATCGACTATCACTCGCTCCCCCATAATGTAAATTTGAATAACAGGTTAAAGAACCCGTCTGAGATCCTGATGTATAAAACAACCCAAGTCCAAGACAAGACTTAAGGTACCAAAGAATATGATAAACTACATCAAGATGAGGCAGACACGACCTGTGTATGAACTGACTAACTTGGCTGATAGCGAATGAAATGTCTTGCCTAGTGTTGGCTAGGTAGATAAGTCTACCTACCAACCTCTGATAGATAGTCGAATCTCTTAACTCCTCATCTTTAGCAGTGAGCTTCAAGTTTAGAATCATGAGTGATGATACCGGCTTGTATCTCAGCATCCCAGTGTCCGAGAGAAGATCTGAAACATATTTTCTCTGAGAAAGAACAATACCCTGGCTGCTATAACCTCAATCCTATGTAAGTATTGCAGAAATCTAAGGTTCTTCGCATTGAAAGCCTTCCCAAGGTTTACTTTGACCTGTGCAGTCCTAGAAACTTCATTTCTAGTAATAATAATATCCTCCACATACTCTAGAAGGATGACATATTGTCCAGAAATATTCCGTTGAATGAAGCATGTATGATTAAAATAACATCTGGTGAACCCTAAACTTATAACTACACAACTAAAGTGATAACCAGACTCGTGGTGACTGTTTTAGTCCATAAAGAGACTTACACAGTCGACATACCTTTTCAGCATACTCCCCCTCACCACGAAAGTCAGGTGGTGGATCCATATAAATAGTCTCGTCCAGATCATCGTGAACAAATACATTCTTCACATCTGACTGGTGAAGAGACTAAGAGTACTTCATAGCTAGAGAAATAATCAATGGAACGGTAGTCAATTTTGCCACTAAGGCAAAGGTAGTACTAAAATCACGACTTAATACCTAAGTAAAGTTCTTCGCCACAAGCCTAACCTTATGACGATTAATAGTACCATTTTCAAGAAACTTTAGAGTGTAAACCAGCGACAACTAATAGGCTTCACTCCTAAAGGTAAAGGTAAAGAGATAAGATCCCATGTATGATTACATTGAAAAGCCATCCCCCCACCATCACCACCAATATCGCTGTCACCACTGTTGCCGCCGACGCCACCACCACCACTACCACTATCACCCACCACCTCTCACACCCACTATAACTGATACTCAAATTCATTTATCTCTCCTCTATATTTGTAATTTGATTTTGGATATGAATACAAATATGTTTATTGTTTAATATTTTTTATTACTCTGTGATGCAATAACTAGTATATATATATATATATATATAGATTACTAGTGTATGTGAATCAAAATTATAAACGAATTTATTTTTAAGTTGCTACTATACAGAAACAGTCACCATTTTTATCACATCTCAGGTTTCCATAGCCAAGTCAAGCCTTTCCCCCCTGATATGCATGTAGACTGTAGCTTATAATCATAACTCTTACAAAATCAATAACTTTTCATTGAAAAGAGGTAAGCACTTCCTCTGCATATTAATGGTTTTTATAAACAAAAAAGATAAGAACTAAAAGAAAAAATATAGATGATAGGAGTTGTGTAATCCAAACCCAAAAAGGAACCACAAACCCCCTAATAGATCAAAAAGGAAAAGAATACGCAGGAGATACAAATGAAATGATACTAAAAGAACATACATACATATTCCATGTACGCGCGCGCATCCACTCTCAATCACATGCCTTCTCCCAATCATCCACTACATCAGACATCTCGTCGACCTCCCCTTCTGGCTGTCCTACAACATTTGAACTACTTGCTTTCAGGGTTGGTTCAAGCCCCGACTTGTTATTATGGATTGGGGTTGGTTCTCCAGGATCCTTGCTCTGGACAGGGGCAGTTGATGATGAACTTGAAGTGATTTCAGAGTCCAGAACAGTCCACCTGTTTGCTGAAGCAGCAATTGGAGCTTCCTTCACCTTCCAAATGGACGCCACCTCCACTTCAGCAGGATCACCAGAACCCTCCTCAGCACCCCACGAACTCTCAGTCCAATCAAGCTCCGGCACAACAGCCTTCTTCCATGGATTCGCCTTCAGAGATGCAAGTGCTCCTCCATCCTTGGCCACTCCAGCAACTCCCCAAGCATTACTAGCTGATGTGGCCGCTGATGCACCACCATTTTGAAGAACGGCAGCCCCGTAATACACAGATCCTTGATCTAATCTCCTCATGGCAGTCGCTGCTCGGGCAGGATCACTAAAGACAGCCAATGCGTTCTTGTCATTCAACCAGACTAGTTCACATTCCCCACCAAATCTCAGGACCAGTGCACTTATATCTGCATCCCTAGGCATATCAAAGAGGGCAACGACAAGTCTGGGATCCATGTCTACCAAAGGATCAAAAGCAGGTGGCTGTAACATGTTTGTAGATATAGGACCTTTGGCACCAAACACGCGTGCAGGGACTTTGGACTTGGGAGTAACATGAATCACAATAAAACGTTT